ACCGGGAGGCTACCGGTGGGATGTGGCGGCGTTCTCCGGCGCCGTATAACCGGTCGCCGGCGAGGAGTATGCGGCAGGTGGTTGCTGGTGGTGAGCCATGTGAGGGTGAAAGAGTGTTTATGAATTGGGGCTCATATTTGATAATTAGATATATAAAAGGGGTTCAATTGCAATTTTAAAAAGTTTTATAAATCTCAATTTAATATATGTGTAAAATGCATAATTTAATCAAATATATTAAATATACAATGATACTAAATAAATTGGATAATATTGTGTGATAAATGCAAATATAATTGAGATTTTAAGGGTAAAAATAATTTACTCGGACCAACTTATTAAATCTTGCACCGAACAATTTAATTAATTACTGTGCAATGAGGCAGTCATTAAGATGCAATGTGTATAATGTTATTGTGCAATCGCGGTGCATAACAACAACAACAACAACAACAACAACAACAACAATAATAATAATAATAATAATAATAATAATAATAATAATAATATAATAATAATTATAATAATAATAATAATAATAATATAGTTCGTTCGTATGGTTATTTCAGTTTAAAAAAAAGCTGACATCAAACCAAAATAATCGAGTTTCTTATAAGTAAATCGAACCGAAATAAAGTGCAACGTATTGTTTTATAAAGTGCAACATGTTGTTTTATAAAGTGCAACGTGATGTTATATAATTTTTGAGTTTTTAAAATTATATAATAATAATAATAATCAATCATAATATAAATTTCGAACCAAAATTTGGAATTTGATAGTTTTGGTTCGATGTTGTGCAATCTGATGGTCATTAGTGTGCAATTCGTCTAACACTGTTGTGCACTCATGTAGTAGACATTTTTTTGATTTGTTTCAAACAAAATAAATCCTAATATTAATAATCGGATAACCGGATTACCCTAAATAATTGAAATAACTTATTATTCGTATTATAGTAAATATATTTCACGTTTTATAATTTTTATTTTATATTATATATTATTTATTGTTGAAAATACATTACATATAAAATACAAAATTTATAATGTGCATTCTAATATATCCTAATGTGCATTTATTCTAGCATTATTGTGCATGGACTGGTATTTTTTTTATGTGCAATTTCAATTGTAGAAAACTTTAATGTGTATCTCAATCATGATTATTAAGCATTTATATAAATAAATATATATATATATATATATATATTATCAAAATATATTTATTATTTTTAATATTTATATTTAATATTTTATTTCTTTTCAAAATAATTTATTTTTATTATTTTTTATAGATCTGTTAACCAAATTATCCTAAATAACGTAAATGATAAATTATTTGTGTTATAAAATATTTAGTATTTTAAAATTTATATTTAATTTATAATATTTTTGTTGAAATGTCATAATATATAAAACATCAAAATCCATTATATGCATTCTTTTTTTTCCCAAAACGATCGAAGATATATCATTAAGCTCAAGGAGGACAAAGTCCTAATACAAAGTTCAAAGAACAAGATAAATCGAGAAATACAAACTGGGAGACACACCCATAGGTGGCCTAGAACCTCATCAAGAGGAAAAGAAAACAACAAGAAGTGAACAAATCAAAAGACCATATACAATAAGGCATTCACCCTCTACTGCCATAAGCCTAGAAGGGCTCCTGAACCTTCAAGACAAAACTAAACTAAGAAAACAAAGGAGAAACAAAACAACATTAATGCAACAGTCCATGAGCAGCTTGGTAGTGAGACCAATCAGATTGAGCCATTTTAATCACTGTTGCAGCTGGCATGAGGGTATTTTAAAATATCCATAAATTCCTCGACTTCCAAAGCCACCAAAGAATATAAGTAGAGAGCTGAAATTCTGGCTTCGGCAACTTCAGAATGGTCGAGGGAACAAATTTGGAACCACCAAGTTTTGAAGTGGTCAGTGTAATCTGCAATTCCAGTCCATTTCACTGGTGACATATCCCAAACCCTGCAAGCTCTTGGACAATTAAGCAGTGTATGTTCTATGGTTTCTGATGTTTCACCACAGAGAGAACAAATGTGGTCAATGGGCACCTTTCTTTTAATCAGCATGCTGGCAACAGGTAAGGTACCTGTGATGCATTTCCAAAGAAAGTGTTTCAGTTTTCCTGTCACTTTGAGTTTCCAGAGCCTGAACTTCACTGACTTGTTTATGTTAGAACTGGTGCTACTCTCAGGAATGTCTAAGGTGGCCAGTTTGATGGCTGAGAGCTTCTCATAAGTACATGAGACTGAGAATTGCCCTTTCTTATCAAGTCCCCAATAAGGTCTGTCTGCTCTATATGGGTGAATTGAGGAGATGTTAAGAATAGCTTCACTATCCACCTAATTAAACACTTGCTTTACCAGCCAATCATTCCAAGATGATCCATTAGAATTCATAAGATCCCTCACCCATATAAGATGGTCTCTGGCAATGGGTATTAGAGTAGGGGAAGGTTTTTGGAGCTCAGGTATCCAATTAAGATCAGCTATTTTGGTATTGACTCCATTCCTTATCTCTATTCTCAGCTATTTTGCAAAGAAAGGCATAACATCCATCCAAGAGTTCCACATCCAAGACCCTTTTTGTGATTTTCCTGCTTGAGTTATGGCTGTCTGTGGGAAGTATCTATCTTTCAGTAGCCTACTCACAAGTAGGTTGGGGTTGGAAGCAATTCTCCAAAGCTGTTTGCATATCAAAGCTTGGTTGAATACCTGTAAATCCAGAAACCCTAGCCCTCCATTCAGTTTAGGAAGAGACATAACATTCCACTTTTTCCAATGAATTCCTCTGGATTGTTGATCATTGGATTGCCACCAGAAGTTAGCACATAGTTGTGAAATTTCAGAACAGATTGTCAAGGGCAGATTGAAACATGACATTGTGAAGATTGGTAGTGCTTGAATTACTGATTTAAGTAATACTTCTTTTCCAGCTGGGCTAAGCAGTTTAGATTTCCAACTTTGCAATTTGCCTCTAATAGAAGTAAGAAGATACTCAAATACCTCTCTTTTGGATTTACCAATTCCCAATGGAAGTCCCAAATATCTGGTGGACCTGTGTGATGTAATACCATTAAGAGCAGAACAAATTGTGTGTTGCAGTGTTTGAGGAGTATTTCTACTGAAGAAGATGGCAGATTTGGTCAAATTGACAGCTTGTCCTGTGAAGAGTCTGTATTTTCCAGAAGATTCATAAGCACTGAAGCTTGATCAACCCCAGCTCTACAGAAGAAAAGAGAGTCGTCTGCAAACAGGAGATGGGTGAGCAGAGGTCCATTTCTGGATAGTCGAAGACCCTTAAGTTGTCCATTTTCAACTGAATGGAGAATAAGTGCAGTGAGAAGTTCAGCCACAATTATGAATAAGTAAGGGGACAACGGGTCTCCCTGCCTTATACCTCGAGAAGGAGAAATATAACCACTCACAGCACCATTGATTTTAAAGGACAAAGAAGTAGTAGAAATGCAAATCATTATCCATTTTACAAACTCTCTGTGGAATCCCATCTGCAACATAATATCATGGACACATCTCCATTCTACCCTGTCAAAGGCCTTTATCAAGTCTAATTTCAGAGCCATAAAGTAGTTAGAGCCAGATGAATGCCTGTTTAGATAATGGAATGCCTCTTGAGCAATAATGACATTGTCCATCAACTGTCGGCCCTCTACAAAGGCAGCTTGATAGTCACTTATGCAAGAATTTAGACATGCTTTCAATCTGTTAGCCAATACTTTCGAGATGATTTTGTAGACCACAGTACACAGGCTTATTGGTCTGAATTGACTCAGAGTATCAGGATTGAGGCATTTTGGAATCAGTGATATGATCGTGTGGTTCCAGTATTTCAGAAGCATACCTGATTGAAAGAAGGTGAGGATTGCAGCAAATAAATCCTGCTTGACCAGAGTCCATAAGTGCTGGTAGAAAGTTGAAGTCATCCCGTCTTCCCCTGGTGCCTTATCTGCAGGAAGACTGAATAAGGCCTTCTTAATTTCTTCTTCTGAAACTGGCTTTAGCAAGGCTTCATTCATATCTGGAGTGATTGATTGAGGGATCAAATGGAGGATTGATTCTCCACCCCAGCTGCTTTCTGATGTGAAAAGGTTGCTGTAGAAGTCTGCTATGTGTTGGTCAATGGCTCTTTGGGATGTTAGCAGTCTACCCTGAGATGATAGAAGCCTGGTGATTGCATTTTGTCTTCTGCGTTGGAGGGTAAATGCATGAAAAAATCTTGTGTTTGCATCTCCCTCTTTAAGCCACCTCTGTCTGGATTTCTGTTGCCAATAGAGTTCCTCCTGGATATGAGCTTTGTTTAATTCCCTTCTTGTGACTTCCCAGTTGTCCCAATTTTCTTCTGATTTATCATTGTTCAATTGCTCCATTTTGATGGTGAGTTCTGCTATGAGCTTTTGATTCTGGGACTGAAATGTGGAGCTCCATTTGAGCAATGCTAGTCTTGTGTGCTTGATTTTCTCTTTCAATTTGAAGAAAGGTGTGCCTGTGACTGGTATGAGCCAGGCTGTTTTGACAGTGTCTTCAAAGCCTTCTTTTCCTATCCACCTTCTGTCAAAATGGAATCTGGCTTGTCTTCTTTCCTTGGGAAGCCCCACATCCAGAATAAGAGCAGTATGGTCAGAAGCACTCCTCACAATATTGAGCACTGAAGCATTTGGAAAATGTTGGTGCCAGTCTATCGAGCCAAAAGCTCTGTCAAGTTGTTCTTCCACCAACTCAGAGGCATTCCTGTTGTTGCACCAAGTGTATGGATAGCCTTGAAGCCTGATCTCCTCCATATCCATCTGATTAATAAAGGAATTGAATGCTTGGAGACTGCCAGGACTTCTTGGGATACCTCCTGATTTTTCTGAATTAGTGCAGATGTCATTCCAGTCACCTATCACAAACCAGTGATTGCCCCACAAGATTTTTTCATTTAATAGAATGTTCCACTGATCAACTCGAATACTTCTGCAAGGATTTAAGTAGACAAAAATGCCCCACTGGGGACTTTGAGAAGGAATAGAAAATTGAACTGCTATAAAAAAGTCTTTACACAATACTTGATGAATTACAACATTAGAATCCCAAAAAAGTGCTAAACCCCCACTGAGACTAATGGGGTCAATAATAGCTAGCCTATCAGCATAACCTAGTTTATTACTAACAGATTTAACAAAGGATTTTTGTTTTTTGGTCTCAGACAGAAAAAAGAGATGTGGGTGATGAGCTTTGATGAGCTCTCGCATTTGGGAAATTGTAGAGGGCCCACCCAGCCCTCTACAATTCCACACCACGGCTAGCATTGATCTTGTTGGTGCCATTCCAGGCTGCCCACCTTTTCCATGAGTGATTTGCTTTTCTTTGACACTGCTTGGTTGTGAATAGAGTTGTGATGGCTTTCTTCTTCTGACTCCCTTGGCCTTTTGTCCCTTGATTTATGATTTGACACTGCAGAAGTGATTGTGTCCCTTTGAAGCCTGCCACTTGTGCTTCGATCCCTCCTCCGAGTTTTCAATGGCCTTACTGCCTCAGTGATCATTTCATCATGTTTAATGAGAGTTTGTGATGGAGCATGAGTCTTGTGTTCCACCTCCATATCTTTCCTAGATTCAACAATTTGAAGTGTAGAATCTATCAGAGGTTCTTGGTTAAGGGGAGTGGGAGTGGCTGAGGTCCATGAGTCTTGAGCTCTTTCAGGAGATTTTGAAGGTGATTTCTCTGGCAAGTTTATGAGCTGTTGGCTAGTTTCTGCTTGATGAGAGGGAGTGTTAGGGGGGGATCTTTGCTCATTGTTTGAAGGTGAATCTGTGTGTGGAGACCCTCTTGATGTTGAGGGGTTGTGGTCAGACCATTTCCGGCCTTCATTGACTTTCATGAAGTCTCCATACTGTCCTTCCTTCAAAGATTTGTTGTTGATGTCAGAAATTCTCTTAGAACAGCTTCTGTCTAAGTGCCCAATTTTTACCACAATAATGGCAAAGATTCAGCAGCTTTTCATATTTGAATCCCACTTTTATTGCTTGATCTCCCAATCTAATATTGGCCACCCTTGGCAGAGGTTCATTTAGATTCAGTGTGACTAGCAGCCTTAGGAACTTCCCTCCATGATTTCCAGAATTAGCTAAGACCACATTTTTAACATTCTGAAAAAATTTTCCTATTTTGAGGCCTACTTCCGTACTCAACCAATCCAGAGGTACATTTGTGACTTGAAGCTCCAGTTGGTGCCATCTGCAACCTTCTGCCTGTCTTCCTTACTTTGAAAAATAAATTGGAAATAATTCGGGCTCAATTCCTTAATCTCCATCGATTGAGAGAGCCTCCAAATGCTGGACATAGTTCGTTTGATTCCAATCCAATTTGCTGCTCTGTCCCCAATTATTTTTCCAAAGAGACTCCTGCTGCATTCATCGGCACTTATTTTGATATCCGTTTGAGCGATGTCAATGAACTCTGACTCTTTTTCAGAAAGAGAGAATCTATCGAGCTGGATGGATAAATCCTCATCCTGGTTCCCTTCCATTTCAGCGGAAACCTAATTCTATTCTTTAACTCAGAAAAGGAACTGAATATACAAAGGGTATGAATGGTACACTGTCGGAGAGTAGGGGAAATGATCGGAAAAAGAAAGCTCCCACCTGAGAGAATCGCAAGGTCGCTCCCATAATATGCATTTCGATATAATTATTGTGCAGCCTAAAGATCGAGTATTTTTTATGTACATTTCATGTTTTAGAAACATTAATAATGTGTATTTCAATTAATATTATTTTACGTTTATCAAATTATTTATATAATAAACATATATTTAGCAATGTTAATTTTGTATGTTTGTGCATTTGTGCATATTTAGATAGAATATTGTACATTTGTACATTTTTATTCACCATTCTTGTATATTCAAAATTCTTCCCAATTAATTAGGTTTTTCAGGCCAATGAGAAACGTGGACCGAATATGAATATTAGAAGAAAGGCAAACTTCATAATGAGTTGACTAAGAGCCAATTTGCAATATACTCAATTATAATTAAATTGCATATCGGTCCTTTTAAATTATCTAATTTTAACAAAGCATCCCATTCCCAAATTCTCGAAAAGCAACAATTCTTGACAAGAAATCAGACGGCAAAAATCGGGCCATCGTCATCATTTTCCAATAGAACTTCAGAGTCCAAACATTTTCTTGAGAAATGTACATAAATTCATGAATTGACGGACGAAAATAACATATCACACAAAATTGAAAGGCTTGGCGGTAGCAGAGTTGCTGGGCCCGGCCCGGCCTTTTCCGGCAGCCTTCATCTCCCGCCTCATCCGATGGTCTTCACAATCCGACTCGTTTCCTTTCTCCATGTCGGCCTTGCTGGCCTCCCTTTGGTGAGCGGCTCTGCCGGCATCCTCTGGAACTCCGAGACAGCGTCGCCGGGCGGCGGTGGAGACGGTCCTCAGAGGCGGTGTGCTGAAACTGATGTAGGATCTCGTCGCCGGACGGTTTTCGTACTTCCACGACGCCTCAGACTGCACGGAGAAGTATGGACGGCGGCTCTGATTTGTTGCGCCGGACATATTGACGGCGATGGAATGGTGGTGAAATGAATGACAGGCAGTGACGGACGGTGGTGAAATATCTGGCAGGCGGTGACGACCAGTGTCCGTGGTGCGCGCCAGTTTGTCGGTTGATATCGGACGATGTCGGGTCTGCCGGAGAAGAGCGCCGACGGCCGGTCTCCGATTGACGACAGTGACGTGCTGGTTTTTTGTGGGAGAGAGAGAAATTGGGGACGAGCTATTGGGAGAGAGAGAAAGTGGGGAGGTTGTTGGGGTGGGGGTCCACTGATGGTATTAGGTTTTGACTGGTGGTTTATGTCAAATGTCTAAAATATCCTTAATGAAGATATAGGTTTTGGCTTTTTTGTATCTGTTGGATCATTCAATCTAGTGGCTACGATCTATTCTCATTTCTTTCACTAAGCACCATTCCACCAGAGCGTGACCCTATATATATATATATATCTTGCCAAATTCCAATATCGGAATCATCACATAGAACACCACAGGATCCAGTTCACATGAATTAATAGATGGAAAATGTTGTTCACCTCTCGTTCGGGCTACCCGCACAAGAAAGCGGATGATCGAACGGGAGGACCAAAGTCACGACAAGCAAAAGTCGGCAGCTGCTCGCTCAAAATGCTAGCTAAGGGTTTCTCTAACGGAAGTGCTCTCATACCAGGAATGGTTTCGTTTACCGACCAGGGGAAACCATCTAGTTCCAACCTCCTTTTCTTCTAGAACGTGGACGGAGAGCTCGCGAACAGGTTGCTGCGAGGAGATCGACGACGAACCAGCTCTAACTCTCGGCGACAGCGCGGCTCGTGTGGTGGCCGAACGGACACGAACAGGGACTCGCCTCGGCTTGTGCTCGTGATTGCTCTCGTGTGATGGCCGAACGGACACGAACGGGGACTCACCTCGGCTTGTGCTCGTGATTGCTCTCTAGGGTGGCTCGAACGACTGCGGTTGAGTAACGGTTGCCCACTGTTGGTCGCGTTTGATTTCGGATGACGACCCTTGGGAACTTGTCATCTGTGGGCTGACTCTCACCGGATTTTGGTGGCTGATGACTCACACGCAGCGGATTTCGGCTATTCGCGCGTTCACTCGCGGTGGCTGATGCTGGTGGCTGGAGAACACCGACGAAGGGTTCAGCGAGGCTGGGACGCTGTCGATCTGTGGCGGTTTCCTTGTGCGTGTGGTCAGGTTACGCCGGCAAGAAGGCTCGCGAGGTAAAGTTTGCGGTGACTAGGGCTCGCGGTGAGGGCGAGGTCGCCAGTGGGATTCGGTAGCGGCTGATGCCGGCGATTAGGGACCGTTCGATTCACGGACATTAGGAAGAGGGGAAGACGATTTCTCGGCGGCTGCTCGAATCTTTGGGAGAAGGAGATGGTTTGAAGAGAGACCACTCATCTAGCCGGGTCTTATGAAGGGATAAGGAATTCGATCGTGAGAAAAATCTCACTCACAAATCGGAACAGAAATGTGGTTCTGGTTGAGAGAGAACCGGTCTGCGGGGAAGAGAAGAGAATATCTCTTTTCTGCTCAATTTCAATCGAAGATAAAGTAGAAATGGGCGAAGAAAATTTTTCTCAAATTAAAATGGGCTAAGGATGCAATAAAAGGAAATGGGTCAGTTACACATAACTAATGTGGGCCAAATAAAGGCTCATAATTGGGCCAAGGAATTTAATAGCATACAAAGGCCGAAAATAATTCGACTTGGGCTGAAACATCATTATCTGAATGGATCGAAAAATATTCCCGATAAATTGGGCCGATTATCAAACTTAAGACTCGCCCAGGAAAACAGCTCGGTGAAGACGGCACGATAACAAGCATTCCCGACCGATTCGATTGATGACGAAATCATACATAGAATATGACGACATATTATATTAATTAGGCTACATCTAATTAAATAGTAATAAGCCTAAACGGAAAGATGTCGAGCAGTAATATAATATAAACAATTAATTCAAATAATAATAATAATATGCAAGCAATCGAATAAATATAAAGGACCAAAAACAAAGCTAATATAATTGCAATTAAAATATCACATAAATCCCAGAAAATTTTATAAACGAACGGGCCCTACAATCTATCCTCCTTAAAAGATTTCCGTCCTCGGAAATACGAAGGAACACACTTCTAAAAGAGAAACAACAAACTGAACAGGAGTCCCCAATCATGAGGTTCGGGCATCACCTTCCAGAACTCGATTTCGCTCCCATGAGTCCTATCGCCTTATGCTCGAAAGGCATGTACTCACATACAAGAACCAATCCGACTCGCCCATGCTCATATGTTTACCTTCTTGCTTGGGAGGGTGACCAGTCCTGCCCGAGCTCAGGCGTACATCCTCTTGCAAGGGACCCAGTTCGGTTTAGCCTATACTCTTGAGTATTAACGACTTGCTTTGCACCTAACAACACACAAGACCTGAACAGGTCGTTCGGTGTTTTGTCAGCGTACTCCGACTACCCCACCATCAAGGTGGTCACGTGACGCCATGTTTCAGTCTCATGACCAAGTCACACTGATAACTTGCTCACGATTCCTTCACAGACCGTGCGTCTCAATCCGAGACCACAACACGGTACCACTTACATAAAACATGACACTATCAAGCTCACATTCTCATGATATCGACTCCACGAGTCGATCGCAACCCCTTTGCAAAAACATAAGGCTTGACCCAAAGCAACATGACATTCCCAATTTGCCGACTCGAGAAACTCTCAAGTGAAGCATAGGGACTTATCGACTACTCTACTTAATCAGAAATCATCGATTAAGGATTTACACACATTTAGTGGGACTTGGAGCTCTCGGTTCAAAGTTCGAACGAAAGAGGGTTAAAAAAGGATAACCAGGTATTCCAGCATGAAACAGTTTCAACAGTTCAGTAAAACATCGATGGTTGGCCGTATACGCTGGCTTGGGGAGTTCGTGCGTACGGTGATGGCTGCTGCAGTTCGCATGCGAGTCAATGGTCGGCCGCGCGCAAGCCTCCCGTCTCTCAACATGGTCGTGCGTGCTCGGCCACCACTTCGCGTGCCTAAACCTAGCCAGGGTTGGGGTTTGGTCTAGGTTTTACAAGAAATTACAATTCAAGGCTACCAAAAAGGAATGGTCTTACCAACTTTTGAAAATTTTGGGGTCAACAAAATAATGTATATTTCAGGCGTTTCACAATTTCACAAATTTCAAAAAGTCTCAAAAATAGCAAGGTGCAAGTTCGAGTTCCAAGTCCACCAGCTTCCTAAAACATCAAAACGCAATACGCCACAGATCTAACGACATGCGAAATCTCAAAAGAACTCTCATAACGATTCTCCCTAAGTTAGTGGCTTCTGCCGAGACATTAAATAGATAGCTCGCCTCGGCTCTTCTGACTAATAGCGTCGGCCGACACGTCTGCTCTTCATCGGGTAGCTAATCGTGTCAGCAGTCCTAAACGAGTGCAACTCACTTCTCAATCTTCACACTTAGAAATTTGAACGCGAAGTTCCTCCCGGGATTCCGAAAGGAGGAAGAGAACAAAAATTTACGATGAACAAAATTTAGAATAATGACGGTACTGCACTACACGATGTGCTTGGTCCAGACTCGACTATCCACCTTAAAAGATTTATGCATAATCTTTTTAAGGTGGAAAAACACTCCTTGATATGCGTCAAATCACTCCATCTTCCTTATTGAATCGATTTGTGTTGGCTTTTGTTTCTGTGCGTTTATCTCGATGCTGAGCGTGAATAATTATTGTCCCCCTCGAGGTTAGGTTATTTACAAAAGTGGCGATAGAAAAATTTTGCCCTCGAGTCTTCGTGATATTTTAGCGATGGCATTCGAACGAAACTCTCATACTTCGCAAGAGAATAAGGATAAGCAGAAATAAGGAGATGCTTATTCTCACTTGAAATCAGGTTTTTCAAAACAAAGGAAATTCCCAACATAAGATAAACCAGAATTAGCTAAACTTCAAGAAAAATGAACTTTAAAGTTGGGAGGCTTAAAATAGTTTACCCAGGGAATCAAAAGTAGGGGAAAATCAAACGAAATCTTCAAAATACGGAAATCGGATAACAAAAAGAAGCTTCAAACACAATTCAAAATTGTTTGCCATGCGAATGGGAAAAAGGTTCGCAAGAGTATACAAGACGACAAGAATTTAAGAAAGGAAGCACGACTGCTTCGCCTGACTGTTTTCATCATCGGTTCAAGTTGTTCCTGGTAAGTCCCGCTGTCACTGGAAATCGCTCGCGGCTCAAAATACGAAAAAGAATTTTGCAAATGAATAGGTCACTATCGTCTTTCTCGAGGCCTAGCCACTCTCGAGAGTCGCGACAGTGTTACGCATTAAGTTTCCCCAACAATCCTCGGGGTCGGACATTAAGTATGCACAAGGCACCCAGACTCTACTCCAGCTCGCACTCGACTGGGGGTCAAATACACATTTAATGGTCTTAACAACCATGGTTACAGACCTCTGAATATCCCACACTTGGGACTTCTCCGGTTGTCTGCTCCCTTCGTTTAAGCCTTCTCCTTTCGAGATGGCTTGCGAATGGTCCTCTTCCGAAGACACCAAAATACATCGAGAGGACTGTTATACACAGGACTCAGCTCGATAACATCATGTCGAATTTCTAAACAAACAAAACCTCAAGTTAGAACTTAACTCTATATGGCTAGAGTTCAAGTTCATACAATTAAGGTTCGCCACTCATCTAGAGTTCCAGAACGTTTAAAAGTAGGAGGATAAATTCGTAAGCCCCGGTTTACATCTCATCATATTATCTCATAAATCAGGTAACTCATAATCGATTCAAAATTTCATATGAAGCTCATACCTGAGTTGGCGAGGCACGACGGAAGCGAGTGGTCATAACTTACATCACATATTTTCACAAAGTTCACATAATTCAAGTATACCAGTCTACAGGAATGCAGACTGGCTCTGATACCAAACTGTAACGCCCTACTTTTATTTGCCGAAAATCAGA